TTGGGACGTGACCGTAAAGGGGAAGGGGGAAGGAATCGACACTGAGAGCTGTCGATGATCCTAGGAATGTGGAGGCCAGAGAAGCCACCTGCAGTCTCTCATAAGGCGCCACGTCACGGGGCGTTTGCAAGCACCGTCTTAAATAAGGCTCACAACAAACCCAAGAAGTGGAACTCTTACATTCCCTCCAAAATCCACGGGCACTCAGTAGCTTGCCGGAGATCAACCAGCAGGGTACAGAAACCCAGGACTTGAACCCAGGACTTTCTTTCCTCAGAGCCCATGTGTTTCTCTGGTGGCCACTGCCCCCATATAGTACAGAGACGAACAGAGACCACCCGTCCCCCTGAGTCGTGAATGCAACGGTGAGGATCAGGGAGAAAGGTCAGTATTTACTGATGTACTATCTAGACATCATCTCGGGACCCAACGCAGCCGTTATTTGGAGAGAAAGGGTGTTTAGTGATTGACAGCTCATAATAAACCAAGCTCATCTCGCCCAGCTATCATCCTCTCTACTGGGTGAGCTGCTCACCCAGTGTCCCAGAAGGCTGGGGACGCTGACATTTCCTCTTCTACCCACTTGGCATTGCTGACTTTCTCACCTTGGCAACCTAACAGGCTGGACAGGATCCTACCCGAATCAGAACATTCTCCACCTGACCAGGCCCCCGTACCTGGCAGCCACCGGCTGGCCTGCCCTGCCGACGCTCCATGCGTGTTTGCTTACACCAGAGCCAGGAGTGGCTCCGGCTGACATCGAGTCTTTCAGAAAAGAGCAAGCGAACTGAACGCAAGCCATGTCTCCACCACCACCAACAACAACTCGAAGGGATTAAATAAATTCTTTCGGCTTGCTGGAATCTTACATTAAATATTCTTGGAAATAAGTAGGCCACGGGCTAATGCGAAGAGATCTTTTATAATAAAGACATTCGGTTTGTAATGTAACTGTTGTGATAGGATTTGACCTAAATAGGAAAAGAAACCAAACATGGCTTTCTCAAGCTGAGCTGTCTGAGGATGGATGGTTGCTGAATCTCCAGGGGAAAAAAAAAAACATAACAGCTCTCTAATAAAAATTTAAAGACACCCCACATACACACCCACACCCACAATCCCTCCACTAAGAAGTTCTTCACTGTGAAGGAAAGAGAGAGAAATACTCCTAGGATGTAACATGAACTCCAGAGTTGGGGGAGATGGGGGCTGACCATTCCTCCACCTTACCGGCTGAGGGTTGGAGATGCATGACTTCTGAGGCCCCGTGTTCTTTGTCTAGAACATGGGTAACGAGGCGGCCTCACTGAAGCTGCTAAAGCAGCGTGGAGGCTTGAGCCGAGCCCACATTTGCAGAAGTTCCAGGCCCACTCCTTGACACACAGTAAGCTCCCAATCAATGGCAGCCTCCCCTCTGGAGGCCACTGTGTCGGAAGAAATGTTCAGAACATCTTTGTTTTGTGTTGTTTAGGTCTGGTAGAAAGATCCTCGTAAGGAGAAATCAGAGGGCCCAGGCCCAGCCTTGCTACTCAGGGAAGAGTCTCTCTGTGGGGGATAAAGAAGGCCCCTGCTTCCCACAGGGCGGTTAGGAGCCCTGGGCGGGCTCGTGTAAGACATGAGGTTTGAGGCGGGGGCTCCCCTACAGAAATGAGCTGGAAGCTCCGTCAGTGGCCATTGTTGAGGGCTTCAACGACACGAACAGCATTTACAGAGGGCCTGCAAGGAACCTACGGCAAGAGGGACCATGGGGGGGGGGGGGGACAGGGCGCCTAGCAGGGCTCATTCTTCCACAGTCACGGAGGAAAGACACGGGAAATTGACAGACAGAGACCAGCGGGGACGCCCCGTCCCTCCTCTGTGGTGGCCTTGTTACCCCCACCCGTCACGGACGTGATTACTGGCGGCATGAGCAGCTGTCTGTTCCTGAACGTCATTCGCTAGGCACTTGGCAAAGTGCTGGCTGGGCACCTGGCATCCAGTCCTTCTCAACCACGGGCCTAGAACAGACACGGGCAATGCACACACACTCCACCTCCCGGGACAGCCATTGCCACGGGTTATCTGGGAAGTCTTTATGATCTCTGAGGATCCTCAGTCCACACACAAAGGCCAAGGGTCTCTGAGTCTGTCAAAAAGGACTTTCTGGAAGTACATTCATCAGTATTGGATTTTTTTTTTTTTACTCATCTGGTTCAATGATAAAGAAAAACGGATCCGTCAGGAGGACACCGTCACACATAAACCTGGAAGGAGCATCCAGAGAAGCCATCATCCACAGCCTCCTCCAGAGCAAGCCACTTGGCTCTGTCATCTTTGGTTACTTTTCTGGCATGGGGAAGAATTACACTGACTGATGGTAGGGGTAGCTTGTGGGCGGACAGCTCAACCAGTCAGAATAGAATATTCTGCAGAGGGGGGGGAAAGGATTTCTCAGCCATAGGGGCCAGGAGGAGGAAAGGAAGGAGGGGGAGAGAGAAAAGAAGAAGGGGGAGAAAGACAGAGAGAGAGAGAGAGCTCACCAGCCGCCAAGCCAGGGCTCAGCAGTTAATGCTGGAGTAAGTGATCATCCCGTGATTTCTCAGCTGGGCTGCAGACTTGTAAATGCATTTAGGAGACAGAAATAGAAGGTCCTAGGAAGCGGCAGCGAAACCTGGCCTGTTTGCCAGCAGAAAAATGTCCCAAAGCCGCCAGGAAATTCACTCAGTCAGGATTGGGGTAGGGGGGAGGTCATGCTTCATCAATGAGAAGAGCTAATAAACAAAACCCGGAGGGGTGGGCAGAGGGCGGGCCTCGTGCCTCGGACTCTGCCCTGGGGACCTGGGGCCCCTCTGCCCGGGGATGGACTGTGAGGACCCGTGCTTCTGGGCCTTCACATTATCCCCCCCCCCGAGTACCACGGCAGGTGCCTTAGAAAGAGCCGCAGATGTGACCAGGGGAACAAGGGCCAAGGACACAGGCAGGCGCCCCGGTAACCATCGGGCCGGAGGAAACCAGCCCCTCTGCTCCCAGGCCTGGCCAACCTCACAGTCGCCAGCAGAGACTAAATCACCCCGAAAGAAGGGGGGGTACGGAGGGAAGGAGATCTTCTGGAGATCTCAAGGACAAACTAAAGACACAACCCCTGAGACACACATAGCCCACAATGCACCTCTCTTGTGGACCTCAGGAGCAGGGTGCACCCTGCAGCCTCACCCCTCTCCCGAGAGCCAGGGGCAGGGGGAGACGAGATCCCACAGGGCCCTGAGGCAGAAGCGCTGGCTTCCCTCACACACCGATTTCCCTACCCCACCAACGGGCGCTCTGGTCACCCTAGTGGCCCACAGAGCCTGGTGCTTAGCCCAGCCCGGCGAAGGGCTTTGTTCTTAGCTGCTGGCCTTTAACATATTTCTGGCTCGTCACTGGATTCCCCAGATACTCTTGGAATAAAAAGAAAAGAAAAGAAAAACAGCAAATCTGGCATCCCTGTCCCACCCCCCTCCCCGCATGGCTCCGGCCAACCAGAACCCCTCGCCGGCTGCCCCTTTGGAGGGGACACGCGGTCCCCGGCCGCCCCCTCTCCCGACAGGGCCTGCTGTGGGCGTGTGGCTCCATGACCTAAGGAGGACTCACTAGGAAGAGAGAGGTTTCTCAGATGTCAAAAGCCCTTTTCCCTTGGGGAATGGAGGGGGGTGGCGTTTACAATGGAACTCAAATCCCCAATAAAATAAACACCTGGAACATCTGGTCCCAGCTGCGGCCGTGAAGAAGGAGTCGCAGGAGGAGACCGTCACCGCCGAGGCTAAAGCAGGACAGGGGGCAAGCGTGGAGGCAGATGGGGGGGGGGAGTAAGACAGGGTCACAGTGGGGGGGGGAGAGGGAGGGGGAGGCCAAGCAGGGGCCCTGGAGCACACTGGTTCTGGGAAGTGGGGGAAGAAGAAAGTGAGGCGGACACCTAAACCAGTATTTATGTCCTGTGTGTGCTTGGGGAAAGGCACAGTGGCTCCGGAGTCTGGCTAGGACCCCCAGAAGAGAAACTACCACCGCCACCCCTCCCCCAACCTCCAGGCCCTGTTAGAAGCCAGCTTCCACACTTCGCTTCCGGGCAGCTCCCCCCGGAAGTTCTGCCTGTCCATAAGCAGCTGCGAGCCCGCCTGGCTGTCCTTCCCACGTCCAATGACAACCCCCCGCAGAACTCTCCAATGGTGAAAACCAAGTCCAGGCCCCACAGGTATGTCCCCCACTCCCTGGCCCCGTTTCCCCTCACCCCAGTTGGGTGCTGTAGAGTCTCTGTTCTTTGGGAACACAACCATTGGACATTCAAGAGGCCACTGTCCTGGGGGCGGAGGGGGGGGAAACTGAGCCACATCAAAGGGATGTGGGGGTCGGGCACTCTCCCATGCCTCTCTACCTGCCTCCTCTCCCGCCCGCCTGCTCTCCAGTCCTCCCAGCCAACACCGGGGTCTACGGACACATAACGAGGCTGGGAGAACAAGACTATCCCCGCAAGGTCTAGCCGATCCCCAGGAGAATCACCCCACCCAGGAGATATAGCAGGGAGGGGAGAGAGGAGGAGGGAGGCATGGAGAACCACCCCTGCGTCCCAAAGAAAGCTCTGGGGCCTGAGACAGGTGCCCTCACTTCTCTGAGTGTCTCTCCAGAGAACCTAGCATCGGTCTTGCCTGCCTTCCTCCTCCAATCCCCGCTTCAACGCACAGGCCTACAGGCCTACTGGTGTGTGAAGGGCCGTGCTTACATAGCATCCAAGGTGAACTCCCTTTTACTGCACATGACTTCAGGAAAAGCATCCTAGCTTAGGGGATGAAGAAATGATCTCCTCTCAGCCCTGGTCCTAGAGACTTTCCCTTCTGATGAGAGATGGAAGGAGAAGGGAGAAGTAGATCGAAAGCCTCATTTTGAAGTCGCCCGGGGGCGCTGGGTCTGGAAGAAGGCCTGGGTGCGGCGTGGGAAGCTTCCCGGCCAGGCCCGTGCCCGCCCGCCCCCCACAGCGCAGCTCCACTCACATGTAGTGCAAGTGGGGGTTCTTGGCGAAGGCTCTGGGCTGGATGCTCCTGAGGCCCGAGTTCTTGATGGTCCTGGACAGGGGGAAGAGAAGGTCAGGTGAGCTCACAGAAGGGAGCCTCTGCCCGTGCCCCACATCCCAGCCGCCATCCCTCTCACCCCTCCTGGTCAGCGGGTGAGGCCAGGGCCTGCTTCTCCTACAGAGACAGCAGGCTGCACAGCGCCCTGTGCCTTCCCGGCCTCCCTCCCGGGGAGGAGGGCGACAAAGAGGGGGGATGTGCCCACAGCCAGGGGTGCCGGGGAAGCAGGTAGCAGGGAAACTAGCACTGGGGAGGGGAACATGGTGTCAGCACAAGACCCAGGAAGGGCCTGGCTGGAAACCCAGCATCGGGGGTGTGATGGTGTGACGTGCAATCCGAGGGCCTCTCTTGGTCCCCTCAGATAGCCCCACCCTCCCCAAAGAGGCCTCAAGATGGGAGGGGGGAGCGCAGACACCAAGCTCACAGTGTCTGCGAGGAAGCTCTGAAGGAGGCCCCTCCCAACCCCGCCATGCCCCCCCCTGCCCCGCCAGGCCCACCCCCCCCCTCTGGCTCACTCACAGCTTCTGGAGTCCTGTGTACAGCTCCATGTCCACCGCGTTCAGTGTGTGCAGCCCCCGCCAGTTCTCTATGTGTCTGTGGGAGGAGAGGCAAGGGTCAGGTCTCCGGGAGCCACAGCAACCCTCTACCCTACTCCTGAACCCAAACCCTGGGGCCGGCCTCCCGCCAGCTCGGCCAATACCTCGGAGCCTCAGTTTCCCTCCTCTGCATGGTGCGTCTCCTTGGGAGAATGGAGTAGGCTTGTGGGATCCAGTCACCCGGCTCATGGGTACAGCATTTAGTGTCTCCCCCCACCCCAACCCAGCTCCTGAGAGACTCCTTTCTCTAAAGACTTAAAACCCAGGCCCCCTGCTCCGCGTTCCTAACACTTTTCCACCTGCGCCATTTCCACTTAGCACTTCCTGAGGGCAAGCTCTTCTTCTCTTTAAATATTAATAGTTTTGGGAGCCGAGGGTGTGGCTTGTGGTGTGGGCGTGGCTTGACACGTGGGCCTGTTTTGCCTGTGGGCGTGGCCTTGGGCAGGCAAAGCCTAAAAGAAGGGATCAGAGACTCACATCCCCACTCAGGGGACCAGGGATTCATCCACCCCGGAGCTCAAGAAAACCCACGGCTTCGGCGGGCAAGGGAGGCATCCGGTGCCTGGAAGAGGGTGTGGGGTGCACAGTTTTCATCTGTGAGCCCCAGGCGAGTGCTTTCCCCTCTCTGGCTTTCGTTTGGGAAACACAGGACCAGTCCTGCTGGGCGGTTTCCCCTGTGAAGATCTCTTTGTTGCCCTCTCCCCCAAGAGACCTGCATTTAAGGAGGTTTGTGCCTAGCAAGCACGCCACATTCATTAAGTAATAAAATTCATCTTCTCCGATTTAGTAATCAGAGCTATAAATCACTGTTAACCAGAGCTTTATCATCGACAGACACAAACCAGGACCAACTGGCCTGGTGCAGCAACTCCGGCCCAACGCAGAGAAACCGAGAGCACTGTTAGCGTGAGAATCGCCCCAGGTACCGTCTTGTTAGCTGTTTGCTTGCGACTGACAAAACTGACTGCCTTTGGGTGTCCCCAGGTGGAAAGCTATTATCCCACTGCTGGTTTCCAGGAACCGTCCCTGCTCTATCCCTGTGGGAAAGGCGACCTTCCACACTCCCCTGACAACCCACAATCACCACAGGATCTCGGCAAAAGGCCTCACCCTGCTGCCCTGCCCAGATCCAGGGGTCTCACCGTGGCCTGTGTCCGCCAGGTCTCAGGACGAGGGCAGAGGGGTAGCAGCTCAACCAGCTGCTGTTCAGGGCCAGAAGAGTGACCGCCGCCTGCCCCAGACAGCTCCTCCCGGCCCTACCCCACCACGCCCTGCCATCTGCGGCCACCCAGGCCTTGGGAAGCGTCACGGAGCCACGCGGTGACAAGAGAGGCCAAGAGCTTGTTTGGTAGCACGTTCTCCCGGAGCCCCAGCCGGGCAGCCAGAGACGCTGGCATCTGCCAGGGCCGTGGACCAGGTGGCCACATTAGCTTCCAGTCCAACTCCCAAGTCTTATCCCTGGGAGCTCCGTGGCGGCGGGGCAGTTTGTTTGGTCTGGTCCCCACCAAGCCAGCCACCCTGGCCACACTTCAAATGTCAAAGCAGCCCAGGAGGGCGGGGGTAGGACAACCTGAGCCAGCTAAGTCCTTGTGGCTTGCTGGGGCCTGGCCATGCGGGTTACCAGCTAGATCTCAGCGCTTGTACCATGTTCCATTCATGGGGGGGGGGGGGGGGGAGAGGCGGCGGCAGGTTGGGCGGGTCTCCTCCCACCGAGCAGCTGTCAATCAAATTGTTTACCCAGATGAAATCACTTTTCCCAGCCCACATTAGCATTCCCTTCACGGGGCTTTGATGACCGCGGAGCTGTCCATCATCACTGCACCCGAGAACTTCGTGTGTCCTTATCTCTCGCGCTCCCCACCCGCCCCCGCTTCCACACCAACCCTCCCCAACTTGAGACCCACGTTGAGATGCAGCAGAGAAGTGAATGAACCCTGGAGGCCCAGTCCCCTGCGAGATAAAAATAACGGTTTCCACGGGGGCCGGGGGTAGGGAACAAGTCTTGCTAAATCAGGAAATGGCATCCCCCCCCATAGGCAAGGGACATCAGGGTGGCTTGAAGCCCAATTGCTACAACAGTAGTTGGCAAACTACACCCCGAGGACCAAAACCCAGCCTGCTGCCTGCTCATGATCGCCCCCCTGAGCTGAGCCATTTGCATACTCTCTCTCTATATATATATATGAAAAGAAGAACCGTAGTTTGTGGTCTGTTAAAAGTAGATGGGATTCAATTTTCCGTGTCCAGCCCTGCTCGCTCACCCCCATCCATCTGTGGCTAGCTTTCAAGTTGCAAGGAAGTTGCTACACAAACGATTTGGTCCACAAAGCCTGAAATATTTGCTCTCCAGCTCTCCACAGATAAAAAAGCTCCCAACCCTGCCCACGGCCCCGAGTCCCTTCCCCATCTCACCACAACCCCCATCCAGGCTACTTCTCCAGCCCATGCCTCTGTTTTCTCAGCTGCTAATTAGGAGTCATAAAATGCCTGTCTCCTAAGAATGGCCCCGGGCCCAGACACCAGTGGCTCACACCTATCATCCTGGCTGCTCAGGAGACTGAGATCTGGTTCGAAGCCAGCCTAGGCAGAAAAGTCTACGGGAAATCATGTCCAATTAACCAACCAAAGGCCCTGAGTTCAAGCCCCAGTTCGGCACAAACACCAAAAGAATGGTGTGAGGATTGAGAAAGGAATGTTCACGCAGCCTCACTGCAGCAGGCTGGCGGAAGGCCCGGGGTTCGATTCCCGGTACCACCAATGGGCACAACGCAGGTTTCTGGAAGCACTAGCCATTGTGGAGTTGTTCTTTTCCTCGAACCCTCACGGGGTCTGAGGCGTCTTTTCTTGGATTTCTTCCCAAAAATGTTGGGGGTTTAGGGGTCATTCTTCATTTTAAAACAATAAACAGACAAACAAGCCCATGGGGCAGAGGGGAGGGAAGGCAGGAAAACTGCCACCCATGACCTCCGGGGAAACCACTGGACCATGCACAGGATGCGGATGCATGTGGCTGGGGGGGGGGGGGAGGGTTAAGAACGGGTTCAGAGCCGGAGTACAGCAGGACGGGGGGGGGGGGGCACAGCCCTTGGCATTCACAGACAACCTCAGTGTCTGCCAAGTCTGGCTGTGACTCACCGCCGGGTACCAGCCCGGCGAGCCGGGTGATGGTAACTGCTGGCAGCCATTAGGAGGCCACAAGTTGAAACGGAAGAGGCTGGCTCCACAAAGCGTCATAAATAAACCCGAGGCGGTGAGCCATGGGCTCGGTCCGGTCTCGTGAAGGGTAAATGGTGGGTGCTCTGCATAATCCCATGCTATGGCGCTGCCCCTTTGCAGGGGTTTTTCTTCCAGGTCGCTTGGTGGTGGTTGTTTGGGGGGGGGGGGGGAGTGTTGTTATGCAGTATTTATTCTGTCCTTGGAAAAACACTAAGTATGAATTGTTAAAAGAAGGCCTGATGTTGAGCCCTGGGCAGGCAAAGCACTGAGCCCTGTTCTCCCCTCTTCTCGTCCACTCCCCCTGCTTTAGGGTACTGAGATAGCAGGGGGGGCTCTGCCCCCCACCCCCCAGGAGATACTTGGCCCGTGGCTTGGTTGTCACCACCGAGGAAGGAGAATGCCGCCGGCCTGTCGTGGCGGAGGCCGGGGATGCTGCCGATTGCGGCCACGCAGGGCACAGCCCCACAGCTGGTCAGCCCCTGGCGCCCGCTGCCCTGATTGCTTGACGGCCAACGCTAGGAGACAGCAGGCCCAAACGACAGAAGCTTGCCCAGAGCCCCTCCGAGGGCAGAGCCCCCGAGGAGAAATAAATACCACGGCCCCGGCTCCCACGAACTGCTTGAGTTCAAGGGCTCTGCATGAGGAGAGATGAGAGACCCTGTGGCCATCTCCACCCATGGCCCGAGCCGGGCTCGCAGTCAGGGAATGACCGCACACAGCCTGTGCAGGCCTGTTAGATAAACCCTCAGACAGGACAGGTGTCCACCCACGGCCATGCACGCAGGGCCACAGGCTCCCGCTTCACGCCCAGCGCTGGAACGCAGCCTGGCATTCACTCAGTATCCACAGAGAATACAAAAATCCTCTTGTGCTGGAGTAAGTCAGATCCTGCTTGTGTAGTCTCCTCTTCCTCTTTCTGCTTGGCTTGGGCAGCACGAAAGTGGACGTGCAGGTCTCTGACTGGACAGTTCCCATTTAATTAAAACGGGGCCACACGATACGCTCAAGGGCCAGTTCCCCCTCTCTCACCGTCGTTAATACTCAATGCTGGTCATTGCCTCTGCATAGAGAATTCTAGAATGTAGAACCAGTTCCACTGCCATTGAGGCCTGGAGAACTAATGTAGGAGGGAGCCCACAAGGTCAACCTTCACCCGGAAGGCCTTCCTCGTCCACTGGTGGGGACCGGGGCTTGGTGGCTGGGCCTTCGGGACGGCCTTCCGTCTCTCCTGTAGACGAAGAGACGCAGACGCACCCAGATGCCCGGACCTCTTCCACACCTCCCTCTCCCCCGGTCTCACACACACCACACTCCTTACTCTCCATGCCCCAATCCTCCAGACCGGAAAATCCAAATGCAAAACACTTCGCCTTCCCAACTTCTTCACCAGCTGTTTCTCTCATGCCTCTTTGCCTTCTTCAGCCTGCGGACAGGACACGATCTGAATTTTCTTGATAACTCTGCATTTTCTAGATCCTTCTCTCATGTCTGACAGGGGGGTTGGTGACTGGGGGTGGGGGTCACCATCTCTTGCCCCAAGGGCCCGTCCCTCCTTCCGAGGTTGAGGCATTTCATGTCTCCTTTGGTGGCTCTTGGTGTGCAGTCACTCAGAGCCGGCACTGGAGAATGTCTGCGCGCTGGGAGTGCCCGAGGCCCAGCGGTTCACGCCTCTCCGGTCCTCAGTTTCCCTAGGGGAAATCTGGGGGCGGTTGAAGTTTACAGCAGGCAATGCCGGTGTGTTCCATTCAGCAGGCACGCACCGCCGCTGGGCGATGAACAGCT